TTACTCTATTATTACTCTAGTTGTCGCTTTCATTATAGCCTTGCGATAACTACATTTGTCTCTCCCGTTGGGACCTTGCGATTACTCAATTCATCGCTTCCTTTAGGCCCTTGCGATAACTACGTTTTCTCTCTCGTTTGATCCTTGCGATTACTCTATTTATCGCTCCCATTTGACCCCTGCGATAAATACGTTTGTCTGCCCGGTTAAGACAATCCTTGCGATTACTCTATTTGTCGCTCTTATTGAACTCTTGCAATAACTCGGCTTGACCCTTGCGATTACTCTATTCATCACTCCCATTGACTCCTGCGATAACTACGTTTGTCTCTTCCGTTTGACCTTTGTGATTTCCATTCATCACTTCCATTTATTCCTCCCGTTAGAACCTTGCGATTACTGAATTCATCGCTTCCGTCAGACTCTTGCGAAAACAACATTCGTCACTCCCGTTGGACCCTTGGGATTACTCTATTCATTGCTCTTATTAAATCCTTGCGATAACCACGTTTGTCTCCCAAATTTGGACCGTGTAATTACGCTATTCATCGCTCCTATTAGACAATTTAAATCACCTGTCCCCCTCAGTAAAGGTTGGCCCAGCAACGAGACCATGTAACCCCTGAGATTAGGGGCCATGAAAGGTGGTCATTGACACCCAAATCGCCATCAAGAGCTATGAAGTTTTCATTTCATAACCATGATCGCGGCCACGGCTGACTACGATCGCGCCATAGCGAGTAGCGTACGTCAAGTGGGAAATTGCTTTTGTCTTCAGATAGTATAGTTATTTTTCCTAATAAATTAGCAATATGCTTCCGCATGATCATTTTGCACATCATTCTCTTCTCTCGTATATCATTTTTCGTTGTATATTATTTTGTTCAATTGAACTATATTTCTTCTTGAATCAATTATGAAAGTTCCTGTATAAATCAAATGAAAGAATGATGCTCTATCTCGATAAAGTTCCAAGATATCTCTATTATCTTGGAACTTTGATAAAATAGTATTAGAAATTTTTTTTTCATACATAATTGAATTAATTTGAAGCATTATATCCGAAGATATCCTCGGAAATCGCCTTCATCTTCGAACTCGGTCAAAGGGATATCGGAACAATTTTTCCAAGTCATCATTCAATGAAATCAGCACATTTTTTTAGTTATCGTGGGACAATCAATTTTTGAAAAATTTCGAACATTCTAAAAATTATCATGGGAATTGACTTCAATTAATGTTGATGGATAGGACTCAACAATACTTACATTTGGAAAAGAAAAATAATCAAATTCCTTCGATTCATTAGTGAATAATTGGAGGAAAATTTGGTTGTATACATACGGACATGGTCGACATACATACACACATACATACGGAAACGGTCAAAATATTGCATTTTCGAATTTTTTAAATCATAATGGGTTGATATAACACAAAAAATATAAAACTTGAATTCGAACGATTACAAAGTTCTATTCGGAAGCAAAGACGTGTGACGTAATATTTGAATAACCCCAGGGAACCTTTATCCTTAAATGATCGCAGCTATTCATGAAATGTAGTTAGTTCCATGGTAAGAGAATCTCTGCTCCGTGTATTTCACGATTTCATTTTTAAAAATTCGAAAAATCAACTTATCCTTTGTTTACCGATATTTTTGAAAGATATAAGTCGTCAGATAAACCAAAGAATGGATTTCATTAGGTGCAAAATTTTGAAATTTGGCGATTAAATACGAGAATTTTCAGCCAGTCGAGTTTTCAAAAGATTTTCATAATTTATTGGTGTATGAAGGAAGAAAATTTTTTAATGTGTTTCATATATGTGAAAGTAGAAATACAAATTTTTACGATTTTTTTTACTCACGGAGTTTTCTGCGTAAAACGGAAAAATTAAAAAACGGCGGGGATTCCCTCGATATTCTATTCGCATCCCTGAGATATTGCGCTCTGATTGCCTCAAGTAAAAGAGATTGGTGATAGATTTACTAGATGTAAATGGCCCCAGCGACGTTAGCCCCGTTGAGGTTATTTACACCGGTACTTCAAGTCACGCCAAGTACGGCTAAGTTTATGTCTAATCCGGTCCAAGTTAGAGATGTGAGTGCCGAAAATGACCGTTAAGGACCACTGTCATGATCGGTAATTAACGCACCGAAAATTTGACCATATGGGCAGGAAAAATGACGATTGACCATTGAAATTACCGAATAAATTTTGACCGTCAATTTCCATCTATATAGATAACCCGCAGTTTTCGGATACTCGTCTAGAGCTTTCTATACTGTTCAAAAATTTTCCTCACTGACCTTCACTTTTCACAGTCCGGGAATTGGTATTGACCCTTCCCCGAACTGGCAAAAGTGAAAGTCACTACTGAAAAATATCGTTAGCGCCTAGTGCCACAGGGGTTTTCGACGAGTGTGGTTGGCACGCCGACCCGAAGGTGAGGCACACTCGTTTAGTAGTTTAGTAGGTTTACTCGAAGCGAACAGGGGTTTTCGACGAGTGTGCCTCACCTTCGGGTCGGCGTGCCAACCACACTCGTCGAAAACCCCTGTTCGCTTCGAGTAAACCTACTAAACTACTAAACGAGTGTGCCTCACCTTCGGGTCGGCGTGCCAACCACACTCGTCGAAAACCCCAGTGGCCCTCGACGCGAAATATACTATTTATCACCTCTAAGTTCCACTGAAATTTCATGATTTTCAGTGGCACTATCCTGAAATGGTATATTTCTGGACGAGTGCCAGGGGGGTTTTTTACTCGCGTGGAGTTGGCGGCCGAGCCGAAGGCGAGGACTGGCCAACCATGGGAGTCAAAAAACCCAATGGCACTAGTCGTGAACGATATTTGTCCGTAGTGATTTTCACTTTTACGAGTTTGGGGAAGGGCCAATACCAATTCCCGGACGAAGAAAAGTGAAGGTCAGTACGGAAAATTACTAGTCCATGGAATTGTCCAACTGTCCATGAAATTTCATTGTTTCTTTCTAGCAGTGTATCAAGAGTCTATTGAGAACGAGGTCATTGATAATAATTAATAAATAAAATAATAAATGATAATAATTCAATTCTATTAATAAGAACGCTTAAAGAATGACCCAAAAATGGCTGAAATGATGATTTTTGATCATTTTTGCTCGACTCTGACGAAGCTCAACTGTGACGGTCAGAAAACGGTCAGAAACCGGTCATTTACGTCTGACCTGACCGAACGTGAAAATGACGGTCATTCAACATTTCTAGTCCAAGTCTCGATGGAAATAAACAAACATAATCTTAAGGATGTTCTACACCCTTTCTGCCAAAATTCACGTTTTTTTAATTTTTCTGGCAAACTTATGATGGAATTGACGTGAAAAAATATAACGTTTTTGCGTTTTGTCATTATTTAATGACTGACGAAATTTTAAGGTGGTGCGAACATTTTCCTGCGTTTTCTCTAAACTTTTAAAAAGAATCACAAAACTGTAGAAAAAACGCATGAAAATTATCGCACCACTACGCAACTTCGTGAGCCATTAAAGAATGACAAACCACAAAATCGTTATATTTTTTCACGTCACTCCCATCGATAATTTGCCAGAAAAATGAAAACAACGTCAATTTTGGCTAAAAGGGTGTCGAACATCCTTAAAGTAACGTTAAGGGACTTAGTCCTGCTGTAAATAGCCCTATTTTTTGACTTATCGCTTCTTACTCTTGAACACCCATATTTTATGAATATCTTGTATTCTTTTTTTTCAGAGCATCGTGTCCAAATAGTTTAGTAGGTTTACTCGAAGCGAACAAATACAAGCTTCTCATGAGAATTCCACTCGATGATCTTGAAGTGATGAAAGGTGATAAATCAAATTCTTTACTGAAGCATGATTTTTATTATCCATGATATTTATAATTTATATCATCTTCCTGAATATGGAATCATTTGTTAATATTGTCATTATTCATGAAAATGATCAAAATCTACTAAATTTTTTACTCTAGCCAAAGATGAAAACTTAAGGAGAATGGCACGTGAGGTAGATCATTTGCGGGAAGACTGTGCTAGGTTATCTCAACTCCAGGAACTCGCTGGTACTTTGCATGGATCGAAGCATCAGCTTGAGGATCTTATCAAAGAACTGTTGAGCCAAACGCAACGTCAATTAGCCGAGAGGAATGCGGCACATTCACAACTTGCGTGCTTGGAATTAACTTTAAATACTCAGTAAGTATTTTGACTCAGAATCGAATGCGAGGGACTATTCACAGGCGAATTGGGTGATACCGCGATTACAAAATGTAATCGATTACTTAGGATTACAGAACTGATTACACTCATTACCATTGGCTGTGTTAACCGTAATTACCGAGAGCACAGAATGTGATTACATGATTACAAATGATTTCGTCGATTACATTCTATGATTACCAAACATCTGTAATTATTGAAATCACAAAAAATGGCCTCTTATTAAATATGAATTGATGGAATAATTAATTGATATAACCTGCAAAAAAATGAGGAAGGAGGGGCAGGGATTAGAATAGAGAAATGCAGTTTCTATAACTCCATCTAAAAATTTGGGCATTTACAAGTGCTATCAGCAAAATAAATTTACTGAATATCTACCATTGATGGAGAATGAAACTTACCAGCAGATAATCCAGAGATAATTCAGTCGTTGGTTCTCCAGAATAAGAAGAAATTTTAACTCTGTTCAATCAATTTCCTACGGACAAATGCTCTGTGCAAAACGCATTGGATATGCAAGGTTCTGAACCATAAACATCTGGGATTCCAAGAACAATTGATCCAGGGATCTCTGAGACTTACCGTTGGTAGCGATCACGCGCTCGAAAATTCAAAAACAAAATTTACAGTCTCACTAGGAGCAACTACGAAAGATTACACTGATCACAAATGATTACAGTGATTACAAATGATTACTACTTGATTACAAACATGGTAATCATGTGATTACAATGATTACATTGATTTCACTGGGATAACAATTGATTACATCAGCGAGTGACACCACGATTACGCCTGTGAATAGCCTCTGGATCGAATGTCTAATTTATAAATTCTTTTGTCTTTTCGTGAAAAAATAATTGTATATGTTTTGTTTTGTACTTATTCGATTGATTTTGTGGCATTCTAAACCCAGACCTGATGTATCAGACATCACTGGTGTTAATTAAATAGATTAATCCGTGCCTTCTCCTGAATCTATTATCTATCCCTTACGAAATTAATTATTGTAATAAGTTTGAATAATTTTGGAAAAAAAATAGCAAGGGTCCGAGCCTATCTGACATGAGATATTTTTCCATTATGTCATGCATTATTAGCCTTTTCCGTTTTGAACAAAATGATTTTTCCAACCGCCAGTGTAGTTACAAATATTCCTCCTACTCCTCTGGGCCATTTTGCGGTTCTCAGCGATTTTACTCTCCAATTAAATTAAAAACACAAATCTTCACTGTTTTCCAACGTTGCGAGCGGTATATCCACTCCTCATCAGGGCAATTTACTAATATTCATCTACAAAAAAAATTAGTAAAAAATCCTTATTACAATATCTCCATAAAGAGACAATTTACCTGTTTTCATTCATAGAATCTGAATCACAAGTATTTAATAACTCAAGGATGCTTGCACATTACCTACCTCAACCAAAACACTAAATTTTACCCTAGAAATTTCCACAATCCCATTTAAATGGCAGAATCACAACAGAATCTGGCCACCATCCTAACCTGTAAATCACAACCAGTCAAATATTGCAGCTATTATAAGTCATACATCCAAATTTCTAATCACGTAATGCAACTCACCAGTGTCTGAAGTATAATAGCAATCCCCCCATTATTCTTCTTTATTTACAACATTTTAAAAAACTATTTCCCTGTGATCTCTCTGAAAAACCCCGAATGGTTCACCCCCAGACTTGATCCCAGAGTTGCAACATTGTATTGTCTCCACAAACCCAAGTCTGGGTCAGGAAGTTACCCAAAGTGAGGTTAGAAACCGAATGTCGCATAAACTCTGGACCCAGAGGAGGACCCAGAGTTGTAAATTTTATTATTAAACGAGTTATAAATATTGTTTTCGAGTTGGGTGGTAGCGAGGGCATTTTAAGACATTATTCAAGTGATTCTCGGTTAATTTTTCGTATAGAAGAGTTGCCAAAGGTCATTTTAATGATGTTACAGAAACCCTGTGTTCAACTCTGGACCCAGTCTTGATCGCAGAGTTGTGTATTTTATTGTCGAAAAAGTTGTTAATGTGGTTAAATCAAAAGGAGGGGGGAAGGAGGGAGTCCCAGGATATTATTCAAGTGATTCAGAGTTGTATATTTTATTGTTAAACAAGTTGTAGATGAGGTGAAATGAAAGAGAACGTCCCTGAAAGAGACGAGGGGGCGGGAGGTCTCATGACATTATTCAAGTGATTCTAGGTTAATTTTTCATATAGAAGAGTTGCCAAAGTTCATTTCAACAATGTTGTAGCAACCCTGGGTTCAACTCTGGACCCAGTCTTGATCCTAGAGTTGAGTATTTTATTGTCGAAAAAGTGGTTAATGTGGTTAAATCAAAAGGAGGGGCGGAAGGAGGGGGGAAGGAGGGGGTCTCAGAATATTATTCAAGTGATTCTAGGTCAATTTTTCATCTAGGGGAGATACCAACGGTCATTTTAACAATGTTACAGTAACCCTGGGTTCAACTCTGGACCCAGTCTTGATCCCAGAGTTGTGTATTTTATTATCGAAAAAGTTGTTAATGTGGTTAAATCAAAAGGAGGGGCGGGAGGGGGTTTCATGGCATTATTCAAGTGATTCTAGGTTAATTTTTCGCACCCGTCCTTTTGATTTAACCACATAAACACCTTTTTAGACAATAAAATACACAATTCTGGGATCAAGACTGGGTCCAGAGTTGAACCCAGGGTTGCTACAACATTATTGCAATGAACTTTGGCAACTCTTCTGTATAAAAAATTAACCTCTAGAATCACTTGAATAATGTCACGAGACCTCCCGCCTCCTCATCTCTTCCATTTAACCTCATCTACAACTTGTTTAACAATAAAATATACAACTCTGGGATTAAGACTGTCTCCCGAGTTGAATCCAGTGTTTCTAAAACATTATTAAAATGAACTTTGGCAACTCCCCTATATGAAAAATTGGCCTAGAATCCCTTGAATAATATCCTGAGACCCCCTCCTTTTGGTTTAACCACATTAACAACTTTTTCGACAGTAAAATACACAACTCTGCGATCAAGACTGAGTCCAGAGTTGAACCCAGGGTTTCTATAACATTATTAGAACGACCTTTGGCAACTCTTCTATACGAAAAATTAACCGAGAATCACTTGAATAATGTCTTAAAATGCCCTCCCTACCTCCCAACTCTATAACAATATTTATAACTCGTTTAGTAATAAAATTTACAACTCTGGGTCCAGAGTTTGTGCGACATTCGGTTTCTAACCTCACTTTGTATAACTTCCTGACCCAGACTGGGTTTGTGGAGACAACACGATGTTGCAACTCTGGGATCAAGTCTAGGTGTGAACCATCAGGGATATTACTGTAGTCAAATTGAATCCCACGTGGCAACCACACACAACAGACCGAACATATGGGCTAGTGCCACTAAGGGCTGGTTTACAAATTCATTAACGAACTCACTCATGAAAACGCCAATCATACTGTGTCATTTCAAAATAAAAAAATTAACAAATATAAAAATATACAAATTAGTCATCATGCATTTATCGTCAAATCTAATCAACGGCTCATATATTGTACCCAATTCTTTACTATCATTAATGAAATCGATGGTCCTATTGCTATGTTTCTTGATATGATACATGTTCAGAATGTCTATTTTATCCTTCCATTTAACTGAACCTAAAATAATTGACTTGTCAAAATTAAATTTATGTCCTTGGCTTTTTACATAATCCGATAAACCCGAACCCGCTGTTCCTTTTGGCTTCTGAATGGAAACATTATATTCGTCAAATCCGAAATTTCCCATTTTTTGTGTCAGAATAACTAAATTTGGCCCCGGGAGTTCGAATATCCTATTTTAAGACTATAGACCTGGATGTATGTATGTGTGTATGTGACCGATCGTTTTTCGACGATAAGTGGAAAATAATTGTTTAAATGAATTAAATTGTGATTTAAAATATTGTCCATAATGCCATCTAGACCGAGTTCGATGATGAGATTGATGTCATCATCTGTTGTTGAAAAAAATTATTTTGAAACCAATATTCAAAAGCTCCAAAATTTTAACGTTGGGGGAATGTTGACTCCCAACATAAATCCAGTCCAATGAGTGTGTTGATGTGTAATGGCTGTGTAGAGCTTGATTTTTGAATACTATTTCGTTTCATGAAATCCAATATCAACGATTATAAAGCTTTCATTCGGAAGCAAAAACATATTTATTACAAGTGTAATTCTTCATTTGATTTTAAATTATTTACAGATCTGGAATTGAAAACATCTCAATAATGTTTACAAAACCCGATAAACGAGCGAGCTGGGAGGAGAGTTTCAACGAGGCCAAACAAAAATTAGCATTTTCGGCAGATCGAAGACCTTGTCCAGAGTTCGTGGGACCTCTACCAATCCGGAAGACACGGGCTGGCCTTCAGTTTACCTGCGCAGCGCCAACAATACTAAACGGTCAAGGTGTTCGTGATGTTTGGGTGTGTAATAGTGACGGATACGTTGGACAAGTGTGTGTGCTCAGTTTAACACCAGAACCCCCTCAAGTTACCTCCTGCAATGGTGTTTGCAATGCGAGGATTCTATGTGTGGCAGGAATACCGGCTGGATCTTCTAGGTCAGCCTATATATTCAATTTACTTGATTTTTTTTATTTTAAAAGTTTCTTATTTTAAATAATTATCAATTGAATATTCAATATTTCGTTGCAGTTCCAATTCATGTACATTGAGTAAGAAGAAGTTCACCGTCAGTAAGAGTGGCATCAGTATTTCGATTCAAGATACTGATGTTAGTAGCGGAAATATTCAATTAGACAGGTAATTAAGCAGCAATTCATAATGTTGTCAAAAATCAATGATTCGCAAAAAAATTGTTTCATTAATGGAGTGGTAGAAGATGACTCGATTTATCCAAGGATCTTTCGAAAATATCCCAAAATTCCTTGGGTGAGAGAATTACCTTCCCAAATCTTTTTTCTCACTTGTAATACCACAAGAGCTTCAAAATTATCGGGTATTTTCCGATAGGTTCGTTGCAAACAAACGAAGGAGTCAAGTTTTTCAGATTAAAAAATCACGAGTGCGAAGCACCAGTGATTTTTCCTAAAAAACTTGACTTCATTTGTATGCAGGGAACCTTGAGGAAAATGCCCGATTAATTTTGAAGCTCATGTGGTATTCGGGGGATTATTTTTCCAATCCAAATGTCGGGCAATATAATTGGACCATGAGACGAAACTCACAATTGAGAAACGAAAATTGTATAATTAACACAACGACACAATTGAATTCAATCTGTCAGTTTGACGAGGGGTTAATTCGACTGCATGATGTTTTGTTTTCTATATAGTAACTACTAGAGGAAATTATCAAAAAATTATCAGTTGAAAACCCTATAGCTTGTACCACGTGATGTCGAATGGTCCAATTATATTGCCCGATATTTGGGTTGAAAAAATAATCAGGAATAACCCTGACGATTCTTAATATTGAAGACTTACATATATTGGAAAATGTGGACGTAATTGTAGTCAATAATTTATCGGTCCTCATGCACCGACACCTACAAATAGGGATAGGCGATATTGAAGGAAATATTGAAGTCGCAACTAGCGATATAATTTGAAAATATCGGTTTAAAGATATCGATATTCAGAAAAAAAAATATCGTTCAACCGATATACCGATATATATTTTTTATCTGAAATATTCACCAATGACAAGACGGGAAAACCAACTAGAGTGATCATGAATAGTGATGTCTGATCGCCTCCGACGACTCTTCATTCCTCAGCCAGTAGCTCTGGCTGAATGAGTTAGATTAGTTCGATGGGTCAAGTGACGGGAGAGAATCCGATAGGTCTGATGAGAGAGACGACAGTCCGAAGGATCAAATGAGGCAGAACAGTCCGATGGGCCGGGTGAGGCAGGCGAATCTGAAGGGTCAGATGAGAAAGGCGAATCTGATAGGTCAGATAAGAGAGAGGAGAATCTGATGGGTCAGATAAGAGAGAGGAGAATCCGGAGGATTAGATAAGAAAGAAGAGCCGATGGGTGGGGCGAGGGATGAGAGTCCTATGGGTCAGATAATGAGAGAGGAGGGGGTCCGGGGAAATCTGAAATAAATACAATCATGTGGCATTGAAACAATATTTCTCTTGTTTCCTGGTAACATTTCATTTATTCTCTTCCGAAATTCTAGAAAATTGGAAAATAATTTAGACTTTGAAATTGATGAAAAAATATCGAATATCGATATATTGGTCGTCAAAAATATCGGCAGAAAAATATCGGTATATCGACATACAATATCGGACACTTCGATATATCGAGGGGTATCCCCCATCTCTACCTACAAAATGATCGGATTTCTCTATCGGAATTCCCGACAGTATTGTTGTTGAGCAACAACAGCAATGAGTTTTGCAAATTCGTTTTATAGATCCATAGCGGCACTTATCCCGATCGCTGATGTATAGGAAAGCTTGAGGGAAATATGCGATGAATTTTGGACGTTGAGGGGCATATGGAGGATCATTTGTTTCGTTTCAGTTTTGGCCGCCGATCGGGGTGCTTGGGGTTACGTGACACATTTCACGAATATATGAAAGAAAGAAGAGAAAACGCTTCAATAACTCACCCATGACCCTCCGATTTATCAAAATGAAACTGTGAGAGTGTCCCGTGACCTTAAATACTGATTATGATATTCCGTACTCTCATCGGTCGAAATCGGGGAAAAATATCCA